CAGAACAACCGATCTCAAACTTCTTTTTGCACAAGAATCATCCCAGAGCTTGATTAAAAAACAAACACAAAAAAGCAGAATTCTGGGCACCATTTCCAGAGGTTCTAATTTAACAGAACCCCCTGAATCTGTACTTAAAAAAAAAAAAATCAAGCTCCCAGATGATCTTGAAATAGATGGTATCCTAGACCACAACTTAAGAAACTTGGCCCTAGAAGCTAACTTTGGAAACAGACCCTGCACAGAGCAGCCCTGATCTCAGGCTCAGTCAGGAAGCCACGAGAGGCCAAGTGACCAGAGCCCCTGGCAACATATCCCTCAATCCAGGAACAACACCCTCTGTGGGGTTGGCTGCAACCTGCTCTACCTATAAAGGCACCACCCAAACAGCGGCACATATCCTTCCCCCCAACTCTCCTTCCCAGTTGTGCTTCACAGGTGCATAAAAGCAATCTAAGCTGTCAACGACAGTGACCCCCACACCTGCTTCTTCCGACCTAGCCACGGTATACGGGTTTTTTTTTTAAGGTTTTTTTTTTTTTTTTGACTGAGAGAGGGAACACAAGCAGGGGGAGTGGGAGAGGGAGAACCAGGCTTCCCGCCGAGCAGGGTGCCCGATGTGCGGCTCGATCCCAGGACCCTGGGATCATGACCTGAGCCGAAGGCAGGCGCTTAATGACTGAGCCACTCAGGCGCCCCCACGGTATATGGTTCTGAAGAGCAGAACCATGATGCCAGAAACACAATTCAGTGACTAAGCTTTAGGGTGGGAAGTACATGGTACGTGGAAGAAAGGAGGCAGGAGTACAGTTAGACCCTGGGTTTAAATTCCAGACCCATCACTTGTGGAAGTGACCTCTCTTGATACTTGGATTCCTGCTTAGGAAGGTGAGGAGAATCATTTCTATTGCCCGAAGCTGCTGAGAAGACCAAGTGCAATAATGAATAATGTGCACCCAAACACCACCAGGCAGGAACAGAAGCTTCACCAAGGTGGAGCCCTTTCCATCCTGGCACCACCAAGTAAAATGACAGACAAGTAAACATTGTGCAAAAAGAATATTAATCCACAGTGTCTTCTAAGAGAATGCAGTACACCTTTGTTTGAGCACTTGGCACCACAACAGAAAGGCTCACGTTAGGGAAAAGCTCCCACCACATGTGGGGAAGCAAACACCACCAACTGATTCTGGAAGCTGAGCATCAGCTGACTGGTGGTGGTGGTGGTGGTGGTCGTCGTGGTGGTGAGGGGAGGGTTTGGATCCTTAAGTCTGTGGCCTTTGAAACACGGACATAGGGGAGCCTAGGCCACCCAGCTGGGGATAGGGAGGCTGTTTTTCTCCAGCGAGGCTTCCCTCCTTCCTCTCCCCGCCCCAAGAACCCAGAGGAACCTCTCACAAACAGCTGGGCATGGCGGGGCTGTGTCACCAGTATCCCCACACCCCAGCTGGGCTTCAGGGCCCATTCAGCTGTGTCCACAGAGGCCCTCACCTCAGGGACCCAGGCTGAGCTCCGCATCAGCTCATTTTGTTGAGCGTGTCGCAATCTCAAGAGCCAACGGGCCTTGGGGTTTTCCTGACACAGTCACGCACCCTGCTTGCCCCGCAGGGCTCATCTAGCTTCGTCTGCACCCCAGAGATGGGGGGTTCACCACAACCTGAGCAGAGGCCCTTTTAGAAACCCCTCTACCTGTAGCTGCTACCCACTTCTTTTTTTTTTTTTTTAATTGAAGTACAGTTGACACATGCTCTCCATTTGTCTTCATTCCCCCTTGCAGCTACAGAAGACACATGGTAGCATTTCAGAGCTTTGTAGACTCTGTCTCCTGAATTACCCAGAACTCTCTCCACCACTCTGCAGTGCAGCTGTGCTAACTGCTGCTGACTTTCTTATTTCTGCCCAGCATGCTTTCCCATTAGGGAACCCCTCCCTCACGCCACAGGGAGTCTGGGTTTGCAAGTGGCCACCCATGGGGATGCTGGGCTGGGACAAAGTGAACTTGGGTTTGCAGGTGGCCACCTTCCCTGCCATGTGGGCACAGCCCACACACCAGGAAAACCAGAACAGTGATGACATGGCCTGAGCCTCTGGGATGTAGCCCTTGGCTAAAAGAAGCAGTATATTCTCTCTTTGGCTTATTAGCAGGTTGATTTGGGTTTCAGACACCTGCAAACAAAAGCATCCTGCCTAATACATCCTCAGCCATGGTTCTATAGGTCCTCAACACCTCTGCTTTGCTTCCAGCTCTTTCTTCATCTGGGTCCTGAAGTGAGACACCGTCTGGGAACCCTATGCCCCAGCTGGGTTTGAGCAGAGCAGAGCAGGTTCACTGCCTCCCTGATATGGGGACTCTGTACCTTGGAGAGAGGCCAATGTGGTGCCAACCTTTCTGGCAGCCACGCCAGACAGACAACTCACACACAGCACAAACCCCAGCATCTCCCTGCTACCAATGCAGCTCATTTGGGGGAAAAGTTCTCTGAGAAGAGCTCAGCAATTGGATAACAAAAATAAGACTGGGGAAACTCTGGTATCAATGCGGCTGTTTTCCATGACAGTGACAACTTCCAGAAAGTCACTAGTTAATGTTCTGGGTGCAGACAGCTCCTAGCTAGTGAAACACCCCAAGGACGCACCTTGCCTCTATCACATTAAACACACTTCCTGGGATAATGACCCCCAGTTCAGTTCCATCAAAAACTGAAATGCCTTTGGGTCCACAGTAGTGGAAGCAGAATTTTAAGAGAGGCTGGGAGGCAAGACAACTCAAGAGCACAAGTTTCAGAGTCAGAGCTATACTGAAATACCAACTTCCCAGTAGCCACTTAATGTGGCCTTGGGAAAGTCATGTACTTCTCTGAGCCTTAGTCAGTGAAAAAAAGATAACACCATCTTCCTTCTAGGGCTACCGTGGGAGTTACATAATTTAACAGAAGTAAAACTCGGTAACCATCACACATTATACCCTCTATTGTTACTAAGCTTTTGTTGGTAGTCAGGACACCCAGGGACTCCTGGCTCTGCTATCCTGTGCCTCAGTTTCTCCCTTTAAATCCCTTTTAACTCAAATTCTATGATCTTGAAATAAAACAGAACTGAACTAAATCTTCCCTCCAGGATCAGCTGTGAGTTTCTGCTCTCCCATACAAACAGGAATCAGAAGACAGAGATTTCCTATTACTCCAGCTCAGGCTCTCTAAGCTCTCTCTTGCACCATGCACCAAGCACTCTAAGGACTGTTTCAAGGTACACCTGTGCTGCTGGGGAGCTAAACCTCTTACCAGCTCTCTTACCATGAATGTTCCATAAATACTTCTGGTTGACTGCATGGCTCCGAGGCAGGGGTGAGAAGAATCGAGAGCTAGCATGGTGACTGGCTATTGCGGAGGCCAGGGAATGGAGACGAGTGGTAACACAGGGCCGGCAAAGGTGGTGGACCTCTCTCCAGGTCAGGTGGGGGTGGTGAGCATGGTGAAAGGACCCTGCCCAGGATCACAGCACAGCAGGATGGGCTGGGCTGCACACTTTGCATCGTGAGGCATTACTACCATACTTATAATACTTATTCATGCTCTGTGTGATCCGTCACATAAGCTAGAAAATGTCCTGGTTTTGAGAGAACCCTCCTTGTTTTGGTCATGTCAGAAAACCAAGTCTGACTTTCATTCACTGCACCCCTTCTTCCTAAAGAATCAGGAACATGGGCAGTCTGCCTCTTCCACCCTGGCCACACCACCCTCCCCCTGGCTCTCCTTGGCTCCCACTGTTCCCTTCCCTTTAATTTGAACCAACTCAAACCCTCTGGCTCTTCAAGGCTCCAAACACATGCCACCTCCTCTAGAGGCCTTTCCAGCATTACAGCCCACGGTGACCTTCACTATCTCAACTCTGAGCACTAGGCGAGGCAGATCTTTGTAAGCTCATTATAAACAAGTCTGTGTTATTTTGGGAGATTTTCTTTATCTAACCGAGGCCCATTTGGGAAGTTCTCTTACATGTCCCTTAGGCTTCTCCAGAGCTGGTTACACAGCAAGTGCACATCAGATACAGAAGCTAACTAGCTGAATCCTAATCAAAGACTCTGATCTTGTCTCAGTATGGGGAGGCCCCCCTCATCTGCTGCCGCAGGGCCTAATGTTCATCCTCTTGCTTCTACAAGGCTGGATGACAATCCCCATGTTAAAAATACCTCAAGCCAGGTACCCAGGGGAGCTGGGGGAGGCACACCCCATGGCAGTCGCCTGGGTGTCCTCCCACAGGCCCCTCCACTCTCTCACGCGCACAGTTAATTAAAGGTCACATTCCTTCAGTCAATTTCATGGTTTAGGCATCAGAAGTGCTCTTCACAGTGGGAGCTTTCAGAGAGCTGTGGTAAGGGAACAATAGCAGCTCTCTTTCACGTAGAATGCCTCTCACACTTCTCCACCAGCTTTCTCTTGGTCTCTGTGCTCTGAAGGTTGATTTCGAGCCTGAAGCTTTATCACCTACAGGGAGGCACCCAGCACTCACCTCCTGAACGCAGATGGGAGACTATCCATACAGGAGGCTCCTATATGGGAGACCACGGTGGGCCCCAGAGCTGCAGAATTCCATGCGGAACCTGCTCCCCCAGCAACAAAACCAAAAAATCCACCAAAATACTCGTAGCAGAAAACACATGTCAGTGGCACCCTATGAACCAAACCCAACCCCACTGGCAGCTCCGAGGAAGGAAGTAGTTACTATTTAGAAGTCTTTGGGTCCTGACCAAGGATAGGAAGAGATCAAGATCTTGTGCCCTCATTCCATAAGCCTGAAATCTTATAGCAGAACTCACAAGGAACTGAACCCAGAGTTTGAGGCAATAAGAAATAAAACTCTTCTGACTTAGAGCTGTCTTCATTTGGGATCCAGATTTGATAAGACCTGCACAACCTTTGGCTTTGAGCTTGGCTCCAATGAGGCAGACACGCTCAGAAAGGTGAAAGTCCAAGGGAGACAAGACGCCTGACGTCCCTCACCTTTAGGTCCAAGTACTCCAGGTCCTTCTTCAGCTGGAGGTAGGTATCGTCAGCCTTCAAATGAAGCACAGAAAGAAAAAAGCCAGTTATGAACACCAAGGGTTTCCAAAACTTGGGGCTTCATGTGTGAATCATTGACATTGCACAGCTTTGGGGCCAAGGGTAGCAGGCTAACACATCCAGGCCATGGAGGAAGCGCAAATGTCTCAGTGTAGCTCAGAGCCTTCTTTCAGCATGGCGGATCTTGCAGGTCACTGTGGGGAAAATCCAGCTAGTCCCGCAGTTGGCTGGGGGGACAGTTTGGTGGGGACGAGGGAGACAGCACACATACCACCACAGGGCTAGGAGAGCAGTGCAGATGAGGCCAGTGGTGAGCTCCTGAGACAGAACTAGAGAGGTCTAGCTGGAGGAGAACATGCAACACCTGAGCTAGAGGCCCATCAATCACCAATGCTCCAATCCTTGTCATCAAACCTTTGTACTGGCCCACTTCATATGCATGAAGCAAAATGATCCTCTGATTAGTGTGACTAAATGCCTTGAAGGTGCAGGGAGAGGATCTGGGGATCCAGGTAGGTCCTGACATGACCTTGGGTTCTAGGATGATAAGCCCCAGGAGCTACTGGAAGTTTCAGTTCCCTTTGCTCAGCATGGGGCCATGTCAGGAGCAAGTTGAGGAAGTTTCAATGTCAGACCTATCTGCTTGCACTGTCTCTGACAATCTGTTGAGTTCTTCAATGTAATTACCAGGAACAGTGAAAATAAGCAAAAGACTCTTTGATTTTCTAGGACCTGTGTTTCCCATGTAACAGACCACAGAAGCTGTTAGGCAGAGGGGCTGTAAAAGCTTAAGAAAAAATGGCCCAGGCACCACTTTCTCAACCAGCTAAGAGGTCTCCCTGCAAACTGAGGCAAGTCAGAGCTGCAGGAGAGGGCCCTGTTTACATCTCTGATGTCAAACAAGTAAACAATGTGAGATGTTCAGGCAGTGCTTTTAAGCATGAGAAGACCTGAAGGACCATGGAGAGGGACACTGGTGACTTCCGAGATGCTATTTCTATCCCTAAACTGTCCCCTTACCCATCCCTACTTCCCCAATCAGCCCAGTCCCTATACACTTTCAATAGCAGTAAAGAGGACTGAGCAGGGGAATGTTACTAAAAATCCCCCAAATTCACACCTTAGGGGTCTTTCACGTATTCCCTTACATTCATTTTTCCAAGTATATTTCCTGATCCCTCAGGTCTCACTAAAACAGGACAGTTAAGGAAGGTGACACTCCTGTCATCTTCCTCCTCTGTCCCCTGCCTACTTTTGTGCAGCCCGAAGGGACCAATCTTGTATGGACATCGTTAAACTGCTCAACATGTCTGGGAGGGCAATTCCCTGACCACTCCTTGAGGAGCTTGCCTGCAAACCTCCATGTCCCATAAGGTTTAGAACACTAAGCCAGATAGGACCTGAATTTTGGCTCCAGGCTGCATGTCACTGGCTGAGGGATCCCAGGCAAGTCACTTCCCCCTCTGGATCCAGTGCCTTGTGTGTGGTAGTAACTCCTGCCCTGCCTAACCTCTCCCAGGTACAGTGAGGTTCTCTAGGATAAGGGATGTGAGGATGCTTTTTCCATCAGCAGGGTACTGTCCAGATCAGAGAGGGCACCCTGCCTCTCCCCTCTGGGTTGACACCAATGAAACACACCTTTCCACATCCCAAGGATGGTCATGGTGGCGACAAGGATGACAGCCAGCATAGCCCTTCAGACATGACCACACACCAGCCTGGCAGTCACTACTCACAGCCGGAGAAGCCACAGTTGAGGTCCCTCACACCACATGCAGGCTCCTCCTCAGCACCAAGAGGCATGGGCCCCCCCCCACCACTGCGCAGTATCTGGCAATAGCAACCAGAAGCAAACAGGCAGGGAAGGAGGGAATGAGCCAGACAGCAAATACAGACTAGAGCGTGGGCACGAGAAAACATGGGCTGGCACGTCACTCCATTGCCCCCCACTAGGGTGGCCCCGGCCCTGAGAGAGCCCGGCAGCGCTGACCTGGCAGGCGGGAACAGTCAGTTGGTGCTGCAGTAACTGGCCGACGGCGAGATTTCGCACGCTGGCCAACCTGGCCTGGTGCCGCCGTAAGCGGGTGAGAAGCAGCGAGAGCTCCTCCAGCTGCAGGTGTGTAGACACATCACAAGGAAATTAGCCACTGCAGGAGCACGACGCTATAATTACTCTTCACCCCGGTGCTGGGACAGCACTGATGTGACACCATTAAGTAATTATTGCATTAATTCTGTCATTAGGATAAATAAAGGCACTGGCAGAAAAGGGGTTGCAGGAAGCAGGTTTTTTTGTTTTTTTTTCTCCAGGAAACAGCAACCAACAGTGCAACCTCACCCCGACTCAAGCTTTGAAGACAAAGTTAACTAACCAAAGCCAAGACCTGGATGAGAGGAGAGGAGCTAATGGCAGAAAGGCAGGTGCCTGGGAAAACGCTACCTGAAAAAGAAAAGCCCACATTCTCCTTCACTTCCCCCAAGCTCTTCCTCTGATCTGGGGAGGACCCCAAGTCAGCTGGATGACATGGAGCAAGTCACTGGACTTCTCTGAGCCTCAGCGTCCTCATCTCTAACGTGGGAGCTGACAGCTGCCCTGCAGACTGCAGGTGACTGGCTCAGGGTGTTGGGGGGGACTGGCACTTTGCAGGCGGTTGATATTCATGGGGTGGGGGAGATGAGGAGCGGCTTACCGATTTTCCATGGAGACTGGGAGCGCTGACTGTGTGGGTCATGTAGCCCATGGAGGGCATGGAGCGGCGATCCACGTGAGAGGAGTTCTACAAGGGGGGAGACAGGAAGTCAGCCTGTGGGCCGGAGCCTCTGCCCCTCTCTGCAGGGGCGGCCTGCCACACACACTACCCCTCTTCATCTGTGGGGGGTCCATGTCTTTCTTACTGGGTTATAAACAATGGTAAACTGGGAAAGCCCCTCGGAGAGGTAAGATATCTTTTCCTGCAGACTTCCAGTTGGATGATCCTTCATCTCTTAATGCCTCAGAGTTCTCATCTGTGCAATGGGCATGATAATAGCACCTACCTCATCAGGTTGTGGTAATCATTTAGTACTGCACCTGGCACCTAAAAGTACCACAGAGGTGTCACCTCTCCTTATTCGAAATTGCTCAAATTTGTGTTCAAACCACGTGAGGGTCCTGGTGCCCTCATGCTGAACCCAGCTGCCTGGCAGCCCTCCGGAGTCTCACCTTGGTGGCATGGCCCCGTGCCTTCCTGGGAGAGCCCCCCAGTGAGATGTCCACGCTCCTCCGCTGGTCCGGGGGCTTCACAGTGACCCTCTCTGCTGGCGTGTGCGGCCGCCGGGGTGGGAAGACCCTCGGGGGGCCTGGAGGAGGGATGTCGGAGGGAGATGGAGGCACAGAGATGGAGCGGGGCACCTCCAGCATGCTCCTGCTCCGGCCCTGGTCGGTGAACTCCGGGGAGCCGGCGCAGATGGGCGCCGTGGGGCTGCCGTGCCGGAACTGTTGGCGTTGCTGCCACTCGTACAGCTGCCACACCGTGCCGTCCCGGTGCGCTCGGCGCTCCTCGCTCGACATCTTCAGGTGACTGGCTCGGTCCTGCGCGTACTTGTAGTCACTCGGCAGGTTGCGGGGAGGGGGCGAGGAGCCCCCTGAGGGATGTCGGGAGCTCTTAGGCAGAGTCTGGTAGTTTTCTGGGAAGGACAGTGACTGGCTAGGACCCTGACGAGGAAGGGTCTGGTCCAGGGGCAGGCTGCGGAGAGAGGAGGAAGACGGCTAAGACGGCCAGCACGGGGTCTGCCAGGCTTCTGGAAACACAGCTAAGTAAACCCTCAGCCCCAGGCACACGAGGGAGCCCTATGTAAGAACCCCCAAAGAACAATCAAAGCAGACGCTCAGGACCTCAGTCACTCCCTCCCTATGTGGAGGACTCCAACACCGTTGTTCTCCAACAACCTGGGAGCATCACCCTCCCTACCAGGCAGCCTGACTGCCCCACACCCATCGCTTCAAGTGGAAGGTGATGAAACCCGTCTTCTCCTCTCCCTCTCGCTGTCAGTCAGCTCTTCCAAATGGGTGTGTGTCTATTTCTAGGAAACGCCTCATAATTCCCCAGTCACCGAGACTTGCCCTCTGCTGGTATCCTCACATCGAATTCTGGAAGTTCTTAAAGCAAGTGGCTGGCACCAGCTCTTTTCTTTTTCTACTACTCTAGACCAGATGATTTAATCATCTTCCCCCAGGTCGCTCTGAGAGCTTCCTAACCAGTGTCCACACTGAACACAGTCAACTGCTTGGATCCAATCACTCCCTTGCTCCAAAAACGTCAATGACTCCCCACTGCTTATGAAATAAAATTGAAACCCTTCAGCCTGGAATGCATCACTCTCTAGCACCTGATCCGAACCCACCTTGCAGTCCTGCTGTTTTCTCACTGCTTCTCCAATAGGACTGGGCTGGGCAAGTCAAGCATCTAGGGCCTAAAGAGACACATCCACTCAGGTGCACCCCTGCACTTGCTGGGATCTAGGAATGAGAGCCTCACCCTAATCCCACCTAGCCTCCTACACACCTGGGCAACTTCTCAGAGTGGGAAAACAGAAATAGCTTGACCTGGGTTTGAATGCTAGCTCTACCATCCACTGGCTAGATGACCCTAGGCAGCTTACTGGACTGCTCTGAGCCTCAGCTTCCTCACCTGTAGCATGAGGACAGAATTATCTCCCTCATAAGGCTGTTCTGAAGAGTAAATGAGACAAGTAAGAAAATGCAGGCTCCCTGCCGGATGAACAGAAGGTACTTCTCAATGGGTTCTCCCTTTCTACCTCTCCTTATTCTAATATTGTTCTGCCTTCCCCTACCTGTATGGGCTCCCCTTGCCCTATTCACCCAAATCTCACTCATTTTCCACGACACTCCTTCCAGAGAGGCCTTCTGCAGCCCTCAGGGCTCCCACTCTGCTCTGACTTAGTTATTATGTTGTAGGAACGTGTCCAAGGTCTTTTCATTGATGCAACCTTTTCATCCTTGCAAGACATCTCTTCCCCAGCCAAGCTGTAAATCCTCAGAGGGCAGGAACTATGTCTCACATTCTACGGTATTGTCCACAGTCTGACAAAGTCCTGATGCATAACCAGCCAGCCACTGTTCTAAGCCAGTGCATCCAAAGTATGGTCTTGGATGGGCAGCATCAGCACCACCTGGGAACTCATTAGAAATGCAGGTTATCAGGCCCCACCCTAGATCTGCCAAGTCAGAAACCCTGGGGGTAAAGCCCAGCCTCCTGTGTTCTAAACAAGCCCTCCAGGTGGCCAATGTTTGAGAAGTGCTATTCTAATTGTTCTTAAATTCATCTCATTTAATCACTTCCCTCTGACCTCGTAAGTGTCTTTTATGTCCTCACCCTCCCTACTATAACATGGGGATACTAAGAACCTACCAGATTGTTGTGGGGATTAGAAATAGTTGTCATTCAAAAATGGTAGCTTTCTTCTTATTGTTATCTTTGCAATTATGGGAGGTAATTTTTAAGATCTCTTCAGCCAGACTTGTCTAGTGTGTCTGGCTAGCGTGTCTATTTGCCAATAGGTGGCAGGGTTTGCTACTGATTTCCCAAAGTCAGAGGGGAATGTGTGTCTGAGGAAGGGGCAGTGGCTGAATCCTCAAACAGCAGTGGTGGCAGAGGCAGAAACCTGGCTGGGGGCCTCCCCTGGGGACTCCATGACTTCACCAACCATTGTTCACTCTGGCTGAAGAAAAATTCAGACTATGAAAAGTATGTCCTAGCTGCTCCCAAACCCCCTCAGTCTGGTTCTGTAGCCTGCTCCCAGTGCCTGCCACCCTGACAGAGTCCCCCACAGGGTGGGGCCCTAAAGCCCTGAGCTCACCCTCCAGCCTGTGCCCTCTGCTTCTGCACTGTCTGCCATATCTCCAAGTCCTCACTGCTGGCCATTTGGGGGCAACCCCCAAAATCCCAGTGCAATGGTGAGCTCCAGAGGCCAAACCAAGATAACTAAACAAAGGTGGAGTGAGGGACACAGGAGGAAGGTTTGCAAGAAGAGGTAAAGACCCTCCTGAAATAGGCAGGAGCACCCAGAGCAGCTTTGCCCCTGAGAGCAGATCCATTTGCTGGCCCCCAAATCCATCTTTACCCAAAAAGAAAGTTCCAGGTCTCCTGCCCTCATACCCTGCTCTGTGCCAAGGGGGTCTCCCTGTTCCAAAAGGCACCAAACAGGATATTCTGATACAGCCACTACAAACTGGTCATATCAAAATATAAAATCAATTTCTATAACCAATTACTTATGCAGCAGATATTCCTCATCGTACCCTCCACATCAATTGTGCAGGACTTTCACTTTCTACTCTGTCCCTCATTGTAATAGCTGAGTCCTTGATTCCATCCCCACCCCTGCCTTTTTATTACAAGTATGTAAATTACTTGAAATACCAGGGGGAAAAAATGGAAGGCTAGAATTTCAAAAACAATCTCTTAGAATGTAGAAGTCTAAGGGTACGCCAGTCTGTCCTCACAAAATATCATTCTAAAGGAGTTTAATGATGGGAAACAGAATACATATCTCCAGTATTAAAGGAACAGTTAGAAATAATTTCTTATGTGGCCTAGCTCCACGAATATGAGATCATATTACAGTGCAAATAACCCTCCTTCCAATGTCTAATGTGCCCAATCGAACGAAATTGGCACAGCCTCAATCATACAAAGCACAGACGTCCCTCTTCTGTATTTTCAAATGTTGGAGGCTCCTTCATTAAACAGCCAGATCTACTTATTACTTGACTGTAAGAGATTACAAATGTACCTTTAAGGTAAACAGCAATTCTGAGAATGCAAGATGCAGTCCTTTCCAGATACAAGTGAATGATCAGAGACTGTGCACTTGGCTTACTCAGAGACAGACAGCTTTCTTCTCAAAAGGGTGTCTTCAATTCCTCACTTTTTCCTTTCAGCCCAGTGAGATCTGCTTCCATCACTAGAGTGAAGTTCCTCTTGCTGTGCGCTCAGTGACCTCCAAGGCCAAGGAACTGTTTTCATCTACAGACCTCATGTCACCTTGCCCCTTAGACAAGAAAGGCTCAAACTTCCAGCTCATATGCAAGGAAAGTCCAACGCTTTCCCCAGCCCTGTCATCTACTTGCAACTGACTTATCATCCTTTAGCTCCCCTATGTGCCCCCGAGCCCCAACTACAGGTCCTTGTGTGTAGCAGAGTAACACAGGTTTGTGGACTGCCAGAAGCCGTTACACAGACACATTTCAACCAACAACTTATAACTGCATATCAGTCACACAGCTTTTGAAAGTTCTTTCTGTGCCCCTGCCACAAAGGGTTTCTCACCGGCCATATGACCTTTTCTGACTTGTTCCTGTCTTCCTCTCCTGCCTCCTGACCTAACTTCAAAATCCTAGCTCTACTAAAAAGGACAGGTCAGGTCTGCCCATGTAAGCCCATCAAGAAGCCCCAGTGACCGAGCAAAAGACAGCAGAGACCTTGAGGTTCCAGACACTCTTTCAGTGGCTCCCAGCCTCCTCGGATGGCACCATCCCCAAGGAGAAGTCCTCATTCCCAGCACAAACTGGACTCTTTCTAAATGAAACTCCCTTCAACACTCCAGTTTTCACCCTCCCCCCCATCTCCTGCTCACACCCTTCACAGACACTGCTTTTGTCCACCCCTTGGGCTGGAGGTCCTCAGCATTCTGCCTTTGGCCCTCTGCTATGGCTCACTCTGAGCTTGGGATTCTCTAGCCTGGCTGCACATCAGAATCACATGGGGGGCAGGAAGGGGTGTGTTGTTAAAACTCCTGACATCCAGGCTGTACCACATCTTCCTATTAACCAAGCCAAACTGCTAAATGTCAGCTCCACCTGTGGCCCTTCTCACCTTCCTGACCTCGATGAAACAATTTACCAAGTCTTATACCTACCCAACCTCAACATCTGTGTGTCCTACCCATCCTCCTCAAAATCCTCATCATCTTCACTGCTTTGGTGTGGGTCTTCCCCACATCCTACCCAAGCTATGACCACCTTATACTCGATCGTTGCCTCTTTCCAGGCTCTTCTCCATCTCAATCATCTTCCATATTATCACTGGAGGAAGGAGTTAACCTGAAACAGTTTTCCACGCTAATGTGGCAATGGACAAATAAGGACACTTTGGGTGGGGTATAAACTGAAACAGTGTCTTTGGAGGGCAATTTTGTAATAACTATGATAATTAAAATGGCATATATCCTTTGACCCAGTCACTCCACTTCAAGTAATCTGTTAAGTACACATGCACTTTATGCAGAGAAAACGGGGTAGGGATATTCACTGCAGCATAGTTTGTAATAGCAAATGTTTGTAACCAACCTCACTGCCCATCAATAGGGAATGGTATAAATACCACTGTAGATCCATTCAATGGAGTACTCTGGTTATTTCAAATTAATGATATATGTCTATATGTGCTCATACGGAAAGACAGCCAAGATACATTCAGCTATTTACGTATAGACTTGCACATACACTGATATATTAAGTGAAAAAAGCAAGGTGAAGGACAGGGTTTATTTTTCTTAACAAGGTTGCTGGTCTTTAGGGAGTGAAAGTAGGTTTCCGAAATAAAGTAGAAGGACCCTTATTTTTCAGTATTTATCCTTTGGTATTTTTGGTTTTTTTTTTACTTTGTGAGTGATTTACTGATTATTTGGGGGCACTGAGCAAAGGGAGATTTGCACATGTAGCTATGAATTTGGTGATGAAATTAATAATTGGTACAAAGAAAACCAAGTAAACCACAAGCGTGAAAATTAACATCAGAAAACAAAAAATTGTTCAATAAATGAAATTTAATTATAGTATGGCCCAGCTGTGAATATTTATATTGTCATAATAATGTAAAAACTGACTAGTGATCTGTACAAAAAATATGCTATATTGTGAAGCTAGGATAAAGGTAAGCGTATGTCTATTGGAAAGGCACAGCGGAGAACAAGAGACTTCAATCCTTATCTTCTACAGTAGAATGTCTATTGATAACTAAAATTGTAAAATCAAGAAAGTGCAGTGTAATTATCTTATTTGGAAATACAGAAATAAATTGGGAAAACTACTGGAAGAATTGGAAGTGGCTGCCTCAAAGGGACAGAAATCAGAAGTAGGGACAGATGGGGGCCACACTACTTAAATCCTTAAACTATGTGCATACATTAATTAAAAAAAAAAAAACTTTTAAGAGTGAGGGGTAACCAAAACTACCATTCGCATTTTGGGCAGGGCACATCAGAAGCACCTGGCAGATTTCTTCACCGTATACATGGACCTGCTGTATCAGAGCTGGGATGTAGTAAGGACTGTCTAGCCTGCAAAATCTCCCCAGGTGTCCCGATGCCTCTTTCCTGCCAATACCCTTCAGACCATCGATGGCTTTCACAGGCCTCCAAGACTAAATCCAAACTCTTTAGCAAGAAATACAAGCTCATCTGAGCTAAACCCTTAGCTTTCCTATCTTCCCCTAGTTCTAATTTCTCCTGCTTTTACCTGCCCTTGCCTGCCCATATTGACTACAGTTCCTAGAAGGTGTGACATGTAAGAGAAAATAGCTAACTTATCACGAGTAGCTTCTCTCTGACCACACTGTCTCCTCTACCAGATCCCCCTTCTGCCGCTACCTTTTAAGTGTTGAGGTACCATTTATGTGCTGACTGTTCCCAACCAGACCTCAAACCCCAACACCATAATTCATACCCAACTGTCTACCTGACATCTCCCCTTGGATAGCTAATAGGCTTCTCAAACTTACTGTCCAAAATGGGAACCCTGATTTCCCCCCGATCTGCTCCTAAGCCTTCCCCGTCTCAGCAACCACCTGGTTGTTCAAGTCAAAACTCTAGGGATCATCCTTGTTCCTCCCTTTCTCTCATCCTGAGCATCCCACTCATTAACAAACTTTGATGTTTTGACCTCCAGAATGTATCTCAAATCGTTCTCTTTCTTTCTATTTCCGTTGTTACCATCCTGAATTATTACAACAGCATCTTCCCGGGGCTCTTCTTCCTGAATTATTAATCAGATTACATCACTTACCTGCTTAAAACTTTCCAGTGGCTTCCCCTATTGCTTTTTCAAATAAAATCCAAATTGTTTTACCTTGAAGTAGGAGACCTGCATGATATAATGCCTGCCGGCTTTCCAACCACATTCAGCAGTGAAGGCACTTAGAATCACCTCCCGGGGGCATCTACCCAGCCCAGCACCAAGAATAGAAGCTTCTCTCCCCCGTGTCCCTGGGAGGTAGCTTTCTGTTTTTTAAGAAGACACAACATTTGAACAAATGGAATTGACACCTGGTCAGTCCTAGGTGGGAATGGGAAGGTATCTTAGCTACACCACCAAAAGCCTTCCTTTTCCTAGTCTGTCCCACAACAATGTCTACCAATTCACTGGGGGATTTCCATTGTAATTTCTCCATCCATCTACCCTCACAACTGCCCACCTAGACCAGATTAAAGAGGTTACACAACCTGCATATACACACAGCATCCCCACACACCTGGAAAGAGGCCGAGGCTATTCCTGTAGGAGCACTCCTGCCTCCACAGCCCACAGGGGGAAAGTCTGGGCTCCACCAACAGGGAGAATGTAGTGTGGTTTTTAGAACACGTTTATCAGGCAGGTAAGTCTGTGGCAGACTTGGCCTGAGCTCTGGCACATCCACTGCAGCCCCTCTAGTCCCCAGGGAGCTTTCTGAAAGCACCAGGGCTTCGCTATCTCTTCTCCAGTCAGTGGTTGGTTTTAGAAGCCCGAATATGATGAAACGATTTACTGTCTTCATAAGGAGGACAAAACACAGCGGCGTCTGGAGAAAATGGGGGAAGCCGGTGACCCTGAATTCTTCACGTTCAGAAAAGCGCCCTTATTAATCTAAAATTGTAATAAAATACAAACAGTGCTTTGCAAATAGCAAAAACTGTATGCCCCCTAAATAATTAAAAACTGCTTCTTGAAGGAATAGGTATGATAAAGGCTACTGTCAACAGTGCCTAAGCACTTCTCTTTGTGCCTGGAATTGAAAATGGATCTGTATTTACTCTAGTTTCTACAAATATTTCCCAGATGCGGAGAAGTAGCAGAGTGAGAGAAGTTGAGCAACTATCGACATACTGACTGTGTCTCAAGGCACCTTTGCTGGGGAACCAAGAAGCCACCTGATGTAATCTCACACAGGCTTGGGAGGTTCACAGACCCGGGGTTGCACTCTGCCTTTGCCACTTACTGTGTGCCCTGGGCAGGTCCCTTCACTTCTCCAAGCCCCAGTTTCTTTGTCTATAACTTGGGGATATCACCCCCACCTTGCAGCACTGCTACAGGAATTTACGGAGCTAATGGAGGTGGACAGTTTAAGGCCTGCATGTCCCCAGCACATGCCGGGGCAATGATAGCTCCTATTACATTATTACGCTCATGAGTAGCAGCCACCCTGAGTCCATTACTGACCTCCTGCCGTCCCCCTTCTGGGCTTTCGCCCAGTGCTCCACCTGGGCCAGGTTGTTCTTCTTCTGGCTGTGCTTTTCAGCGTTGTTCCTGGGAGGAAAGGCCCATTGATACCCGCCGGTCCCGTTCTGCTCTCCTGGGCCATACATGGCGGGCAGCACCCCATTCTTCTCTGCCCGCTGGGGCTGTGCTTGCTGGCCTCTCAGGCCACCAGGTAAATCCACGAACAAGGCGTCCTCCTCAGCCGGCGTGTACGGGGACCTAGCCTTGCTCCTGTCCCGCTTGCCCTCCAGTGGGTCCCTCTGGGAACGGTACCGTTCTTCCTCTTGCTCCCGCCTCTCAAAGCCAAAGGAATCCTCATGGCTTTGATGAGGACAATCCCTCGCATGTCCAGGTCCCACGCGGCCACACTCTCGACAGGACTCGGTGTGGTTGGCCTGGGGGACCGCCTGCCGCTCCACCTTCTCCACATCCCTGCAATGACAGAGGCACATTCAGCCCATTCCAGACAGCACCACGGGCAGCCAAGACTCCCCAAAGAACACACTCTATACTCGAATTTCCTCCAGGCCTTTGCATGGGCTGTTCCCTCCACCTGGAATACCTTTCACACCTAGTCCCTCATTCTTCCTGCCTGACTTCTACTCTTTTGGGACCTGGCCTACACGTTACCTCCTCTAGGAAGCCACTCCAGTCACATACTCCCACTCTAGATTGGGACCTTAGCTGACTCCACCGTCACACGAACCACACTGCACCATAACTGTATTTACTCATCTAACGCCCAAGTAGACCATGAGTTCCCTCAGGCCAGAGGCCCATGTGGCCAATTACAATACGCCCAGAACTTCTGTGCAATGACTGGTATAGAGGAGGTGCTTTATAAATACTACTGAATGAATAAATGATACACGTGACAATCTCATGCCTTTCCCTTGTGGTCTATGTCCATCTGTCTGGGGCAGTCCAGCTTGGATAGAAGGCTCCCGAGCCCAGGGTCTCTCCCACTGGCATCTAGCATAGCCCAAAGGACAATTAGCGCATAATTAACATTCCCCCAAGATGCTGAGCAGAGAACGAACAGGCTCAGCAACCTCTTTAGATGACCTCTTACCTACCGCTCAAACAGGAACACACAAGAACACAACAATCCTCTGAAGTATCACTAGTCAGATTTTAGAGATAAGGAAACTGAGGCACAGAGAAGATAAATGATTTGCCCAAGACCATAGTGTTACAGAGCCCATCTGGTTCCCACTGCATCTCTGTATGCGTGAGATGGCCTACATATGTGCAGATCTAGAAACTGTAAAGGAGAATGGGGTGGGGGCCACTGCCCAGGTTGTGAACGGAGGGCAGAGGAGCAACTTCTGGGGGCATCAAGAAGGATTCCTCTTTCATGGCCTACCTCCTACTGTAAAACCTTTCTACCCCACCCTCCTTCCTCAGGGCAGGATCCTAGTTATATCTACATCCCCATTACTTGGTACCAGGGACAGAGCAGCAGCTCCATAGGCTTTGCAGAATTTAGACTGGGGAGGCAGGAGAACACACTCCAGCCCAGCCCAGAAAGACCAGAAAATTACCGAGGACCCTTGGCTGGGGCAGCCAGTTTCCTTTGGTAAAAAGGACCTGGCCTTGAGATCCGTCACTCCTCAGATGGCCAAGCTCTCCATTTCAACATGGAAGCATACAATGGAAACGCTGCTGCATTTATATCTGAGTGGCCACACCCCAGGCATCCTTACAACAACCTAGGAACCTCAGCTACCAATAATCAGCACAGACTCAGGGCAGAATCAATCCAGTCCCAAAGACAGTTAAAATATCAATGTAAAGTAACAATATAACCCCTAAGAAAAGCAATCACATATCTCACTGTCCACGCACTCTCCTGACTTTTCCATGAAAATCCAAAGCTTTGTTTAAAAAAAAAAAAAAATCAATTTCAGCATTTCGATTTTCATTTGGGGATCACCTCCCCCACTCCCAATCCATATGGTTTGGGTGTTGCTGACCACTAGTCCCTGTCCAGCTGAGGCTCCCAGTCTCAACGATTAGCTCGGGGGGCAACACATCACCTATTCCAAGTCCGTCAGAGTTGGTTCTGGGGCTTTGGCTGGAGCTGGTCTAGAACTGCTATAACTAAATGGGAATCAACTATTTGAAAATGAAACCAACACCAAGGAAAGCAGATGGAGAGAAACAGAATCCTAAAAACTTGGCCTGAGCTCTGAGATTTAGCCATACCTAAACCAGATATATCCTTGGACTTTTTGGTTGTGAACCAATAAATTCTCTTTTTCACTTAAGCTAGTTTGAGTTTGGTCTCTGTTACTCTTAGTGGAAGGAGTCCTATTACATCATTTGATAATGATATATTTAGATTGTGATCTCTGAGGGCCCTTCCATTCCTAATGTCCAGTTGGTCTATAAGCTCCAGGAGTGGGAATATATGGGAAATATTCAGGGGCTACACTTTAAGAAAAAACAATTCTTACTGTACGTTCATTAAGGAACAATTCTTTCCCACAGTATACATCATAGGTTTTAACTTTGTCCTTTCTTCAATCCTCCATAACTGTACCAGTGTAACCCCAACCGGTAGCCTTCAGGTTGCCTAAGTTGGCCTTTATCTTCTCTACTGTTTCTCAAACTTGGGAGACCCTGCAGGGAGGCTGTGCTAAGGCTGCTGCATAGGGGACTAGAGCTCTGGCTGCCCTCTGGGTCACACCCCAGCCAAGTCACCGAAGCTTGATAACCTGATTACTCCAACTGTGAGACCTAAGTAACTGTCCCTCCTTGTTATTACCATCCCAACGATAAGTCACAAAAACCAGGTTGTGAAACAAACATGCCACCTACATACATGACATTAGAACTAAAAGGAAAAGGGGGTTTCCTCAACTCCAGAAACCAAGGACTATGGGTATGATGCCTCAGCCCAACCAACTGTAATGGGGATTTTCCTTTCTTTACCAATCAACCTCCATGTATTTACTGAGCAACCATTTATCCCCACTGGGTTGGGCAGTTGGAGTTATAAGGAAGTAGCAGAGAAAACGGTCTCTGCCATCAAAGCCAGACAACCCTAAAGCCCAATTTAATCATGGTAACCACATTTAATACCGTTCTCATTAACTGACCACAAATCGTGGAGCTTTCCAGTCTTTTCTCACCTTGGAGCTAATTTATAACTATATATCTTAGTCTTTACTATGTGTGTACATACGATATACACACCCTCACATATGCTAGTACATCCTGATGATAAAGTTGATAGAGAACGACCAATCCTTTTCTCAGATTAACACCACCATTTATTGCAAAATAAGCCTTAAGAGGGTGGCTAAAAAAATGGTAGTCTGCTTGGCACCTGGCAGCCTTCCAGGCCCTCAAACGGGATTATGAACAACTCTTGGTTTCTGACTGCTGGGACTTACATAAGATGCCTTTGTGCGCAGGCGCCTGGGTGGCTGAGTTGGTTAAGCGACTGCCTTCGGCTCAGGTCATGATCCTGGAGTCCTGGGATCGAGTCCCGCATTGGGCTTCCTGCTCAGCAGGGAGTCTGCTTCTCCCTCTGACCCTCCCCCCTCTCATGCTCTCTATCTCATTCTCTCTCAAATAAATAAATTCTTTAAAAAAAAAAAGATGCCTTTGTGCCCAAAATAACTCAGGCTATGGCTGTAGGTAAGAAAGATGAAGGTAATGTCCTCTACTTCCCCATCTTAACTGACTTAAACAGTTAACTTACTAAGATACAGGATTTAAGGCAATGATGTTTTCTGGTTTTCCCCCGTCTCCCTGCATTCCCTACAATTTAACAACCAACTTCTCAAATCAGGAGACCTGTCACAAAATTGATTTGCAACGCTCGATTTAGCATAATGCTGGGAAAGAATGAAACACCCCTCAGCTCTCAATGACTGTGTCATTCAGAGAAGTTGGCCATGTAGGGCATACATATTTAGCTAAGATGACACAAGCCTTTCCAGTGCAGGTCACTGCTATTATTGTGAGCACCTGGACTCAGTGACTATTCAAAGTCACAGGGAATTCTCGGCATTCAGTGACCATTTTGAGCCAAATGTGTCAAACCCAGTGGACAGAGGGTTTAGAGCCAGTCAGACCTGGATTTAAGGGTTGATCCCACCCAATACAAGCTGGGTGACCTTAAGCAAGTCTCTGACTTCTCTGGTTTCAGGTTACCTATCTGCAAAATGGGGACAACAACCCCCACTTTTTTGGACTGTAGTGAGGACTAAAGGAGACAGTGCACAGCATGCCCTCAAATACACATGTGCTGACTACCAGTATCTATTCTCTCCCTCTTCCTTACCCCAAGTTTTTCTAAATGGCAATGTATCCAGCAAAAAGTCACATTTCCCAACCTCCCTTGGAGCTAAGGGTGACCATGTGACTTAGATCTGGCCAAGAAGATGTTAAGATGTACACAGAAATTGCTGGGTGGGTCTTCCAGGAAAGTCTTTAAAAGAAGTCACACTTAGCTGGCTTAGCTAACCCTTCCCTTCTTTCTGCCTGGAATTTAGACTCTATGCTGGATTGCAAGGTGACAAAAATAAGGATAAAAGCCACCCGCTAAAACCTGGGTAGAAAGTGAGAAAGAGTCCAGATCCCTGATGGCATCAGGGAGCTACTATACCAGCCTGGACTAACTACCTCTGGATTCGTGTTATGTGAGGAAACTAAAACCCCATTTGATGATGCTATCCTAAGTTGGGTTGTTCAATTACTAGCAACCAGACCCAATCCCTAACTGTTACAAGGGGCTAAACATTATTAGCAGGGATTGGGTCCCTCCATTTTTAGCACATCACAGCAATGCTCTATGTCTGCTTAGAGCAAATTCTTGTTTCCCCCTGCAAGTGGGAAAAGCACTCACCTCAGACCAGGGATACTTCTCTCTTCTTACTTGTCTTCACAAGAACTTGGAAATCAACAGATCATACCAAGCACTGATTATTTTATTCTGCGTCTAAACCCTTTATCTCACCAGGAAATAAGAACTACTATTTTCCTCTGTCTTAATGCTAAACACATGCACATACCATACACATTAACTCTCATTCAAAGACTTGGGTAGAAAGAGGAATGACAGCTTGTTGGGCTTTGGTTGGACTTTGGTCCAGTGGCAGATACAGCCCTTCTATCGAAATCCCACTAGAGGATCCCTCCCCACTCTCAACACCTAAATGACCAAACTAGGAACCCAAGAACAAGGCCCAGGCCACCAATATTCTTAGAGTTTAGTCTGAACCAGATCAAGTAGCAGAAGTCCTGCCCTGGGAAACCAGCTCAGCCTATGTTGACAGACGCTGAGTCCTGAGCACTGACCCCAGTCTCAGGAGGACAGTGGGCTCAAAAGTCAGAACCGACCCTAGGCAAAGTCCATAGACTTGTACAGAAGGCAGAAGAGAAAAGGTCCCAAAGCATCTTGGGAGCCTATGGCAGGC